TATACTATATATAATATGATGAAAGATTTAAAGTCAGATTTGTATAATGTTTCATATTATTTTTTTTGTTTATCTATTAAATATTTATTATTATTATTGTTATTATTATTATTATTGTTGGGGTTGTTTGATTAAATTATTAAATAATTTTGTATCCTGCTATTTAAATTTATTTTAAATAATAGTACGATAAGTTCGTCTATTTATATATATACGTATATTTTTTTGTTTTATTTTATCTAGGAGAAAGACAAGAATTTAAAAATAAAAAAATAATTAATCAGAAAGAGAGGAAGGAAAATGGAAAGCATAATTTTACTCTCGCGAGTTTGTTAACAAACGTCAAAGTATTTGTTGAACGTTTATCCGATGCAAGTGATTTATGTAGGAGAAAAAAATTATTAAAAGAAATCAAATACATTATTTCAAAGGATAAACGATTACGCGATCGAATCAACCTTGTTTGAAATTATTTACTTTTGATACGATTTATAAAGCATATTTGTATAAATTAAATGTGAATTGAATTGAGCGAAAAAAAAACAAAAGGAAAATAATTAGAATGAAAATAAAAAATAAAAACAGAGAGAGATCAACTCATAAATATTTCTACGATCGCACATTTCTATATTGTATAGCTCGAAGTGGGTCATGATAAAAGTATTTCTATCTTAAATAACTTACAATTGAATTTATCTATGAATATTTCTCACCAAAAGCCGAGAGCAAATACGTAAGTTCAAAAAATCATAATAAGTATATTTATATATACTTATTTAAAATCGCATTATAATATTTTGGTGTGTTGTAGCAATAACGCGTAATGAAGGATTAAACTTTTTATTATAATTTTGTATCTGCATACGTATTTTTACAAAAAAAAAAAAAAGAAAAGAAAAAATACGATGAATAAATAAAAAGGAAGAAAAACAAGACCGAAAATGACTAAGCAAGTATTTATATTCTATTAATTTCTTTTTTCTTAAACGAAGAAAATATTTTTCGTATATTATCACTCTGCTAATAATACTAAAAAAGAAAATATTATTCAATTCACGCTTATATTTAATCGACGATTAAACATTTTTATTTACAACCAATCAGAAAAATAAATAAATTTCTTTCCGTGTTTTTGCAATACTTACGGACGATTGCATTCGATGATTCAAAAATAGTCGAGAATGTATTGTTCTAAAACAAATTTAAACAATGTTTTACAAACAATACGATATTTTCCAAATGAATTTCGATGTAGAAAGAATTTTATCGGCTTTTCACCGTAACACGTCGACTCGTTTTACTTTACGTTTTACTCGGGAAAAATTTAAGAAAAATCTCGCAAAATAAAAAAAAAGATAAATTAACGATAGAAACGGGCGAACGCGGTATAAGGGTAAACATTGTAAAGAAAAAAAAAAAAAAGAGATAAAAATGAAAGAAAGAACGTAGGGATGCAAAAAAAAATGAAATTTAATATTACATTATAAAAGTATTACAAAGAGAAAAAAAAACGAAAAGAATGAATATTGTGAAGTAACTAGCAAAAAGGGCATATAAACAAAGTAAAACGTTTGATAACAATCAAGGAACTTTCTTTAATACGTAAGCATTAATATATCGTGCGAATTTTCTACTTCGCTTTTGTAAAAAAAAAAAGATAATAATAATAATAATAATTAATAATCAAATAATATTAAAAATT